CATCTTATCTTGTCGATAGGACCCAATTCGTTCGAATTAATAATACTAAATCCGATATAATTAAAGTCACCTCGGGGGTCCCACAAGGCAGCCATCTGCGTACGTTACTTTTCCTTGTTTTTGCTAATGATATTCCGGGAGTTTTCCTAACATCGCATTGTTTAATGTATGCTGATGATCTAAAGTTATACAGCAGCATAGAAAGCGTGTCGGACTGCATTAGTCTTCAAGAAGACTTGCAAAGACTGAACTCATGGTGTGACGTTAACTCGTTGAATTTCAAGAGCTCTTCACACTTAAGAACTTACATTTCTCATTTGTAAGATCGAACCTTGAGTATTGTAGCATCATTTGGGATCCCTTCTATTCGGGTTCATCTTCAAGGGTAGAGAAGGTCCAAAAACGCTTTACCAGATACGCAACTCACTCCCCCCGGTGGAATTGCAGCATTCCCGATTACAATAGCATTGGCATTACCTACATTTGAAATGCGTAGAAAAATGTCCTCAATCATGTTTATTAGGGACATAGTCACCAGCCATGTCACGTGCCACTTCTTACTCGAACTAATTCTTTTCAATTGTCCTGCTCGGGATCTCAGATTCAGTGACATGTTCCGTGTACCAATTCACAAGACCAACTTTGTGTGTAATGAGCCACTTACGCGTTGCCTGAGGCAGACTAACAAAATTTGTAAAAATTTAGACGTTTTCTTAATACACGTGATAGCTTTAAGTCTAAATTAATTCAGGAGCTGCATTTCTTAAATTATAAATAATCTTTTTTTAATCATATGCACATTCACATATTAGCTCTGATCCAATACTTTTCGTGAAAAATCCTGTAAAACTGTCAAACAGCAAAATTACTCTCTGAAGTGAGAGTGAAAAGTGAGTAACAACAAAAAGTACGGGAACAAAAAATCCATTTTTCCTGTAAAAACGTCAACCAGTGATTGCTTGACAGTTTTCATGATTTTACCAGAAGAAAAAGTTTGGGTAAAATCTTGCAACTTCATTCTCTACACAACTCTCCAAAAGTCGCTCTCATATACAGGATTTTGGAGTACGGGAAAATTTTTCCTGTAACTTTCTGCAAGTTCGTGTAAAATCCTGTAAGTTCATGGAGTACTGGATCAGAGCTATTGTATTTTGCACTNGTTCATCTTCAAGGGTAGAGAAGGTCCAAAAACGCTTTACCAGATACGCAACTCACTCCCCCCGGTGGAATTGCAGCATTCCCGATTACAATAGCATTGGCATTACCTACATTTGAAATGCGTAGAAAAATGTCCTCAATCATGTTTATTAGGGACATAGTCACCAGCCATGTCACGTGCCACTTCTTACTCGAACTAATTCTTTTCAATTGTCCTGCTCGGGATCTCAGATTCAGTGACATGTTCCGTGTACCAATTCACAAGACCAACTTTGTGTGTAATGAGCCACTTACGCGTTGCCTGAGGCAGACTAACAAAATTTGTAAAAATTTAGACGTTTTCTTAATACACGTGATAGCTTTAAGTCTAAATTAATTCAGGAGCTGCATTTCTTAAATTATAAATAATCTTTTTTTAATCATATGCACATTCACATATTAGCTCTGATCCAATACTTTTCGTGAAAAATCCTGTAAAACTGTCAAACAGCAAAATTACTCTCTGAAGTGAGAGTGAAAAGTGAGTAACAACAAAAAGTACGGGAACAAAAAATCCATTTTTCCTGTAAAAACGTCAACCAGTGATTGCTTGACAGTTTTCATGATTTTACCAGAAGAAAAAGTTTGGGTAAAATCTTGCAACTTCATTCTCTACACAACTCTCCAAAAGTCGCTCTCATATACAGGATTTTGGAGTACGGGAAAATTTTTCCTGTAACTTTCTGCAAGTTCGTGTAAAATCCTGTAAGTTCATGGAGTACTGGATCAGAGCTATTGTATTTTGCACTTGTACCTTATTACTCATTATATCTATTTTGAATTTTTATTTTTTTTTTTTCCTTTCCTTTTTTATTTAACTTTAGTAATCTATCTGAGTTGTACTCTAAGTGATGAATTGAATTGAATAATTATTTTTAAATAAATATATTTAAATATGTATACCCAAACGTGTATGTAATTAACTTGGTTGCCTACGCAAGCAAATGCATGAAAGTTGAGAAAATTCAGCTCTGTGCGCATTCGAATGCGTATTCGAATTTTTTTCCGTACTCTGCGCTTACGCGCGCACTATGGAGTTTATCCCATAAGAACATATGTATGCAACTCAGCTGTCAAACGCACGCATACGTATACGTACGCATACGCTTGCCTATGGAGTTCCAGCTTAACCCTGCGGTTCGATAAGGTAGTGGCGTGCGTGTGGGTGTATGGTTGCATGGTAGTAAATTGAGTGGCGGCCGTCGGCGATTTTTGAGTGGGTGCGACATGAGTGACACGCTCGGCTGGCTTAGGGCCAGTTTTTCAGTGCGAGTTTAACTCTGTTTGTCGTTTAAACTAAGTTTAAACTCAGTCTGCAGTTTTTCAGTCAATTTTAAAGCTGGTTTAAACTAAGTTTAAGCGCCCAATCTGGCTGGGTTAAACCGAGTGTAAACTATCAGCTGTTAAGTTGTATGTTTTTAGTCAGCCGCCAAAATTTAGATGAAAAATTGGGTCGGGCAACACATGAAGCGCCTAACAAATTCTTTAAATTTACGTCTGCAATCTTTCAGAACTTTAAACGCGATCGTATCAAAAGTGAAAATAAATGGCTGAAGTTTTGTATCTGCATAAAGAAAAAACAGTGTTGCTCTACAAAACAGCTAAACTATAAAACGGCCTTAAGCTCGCACTGAAAAACTGACCAGTAGCTTATAATTAGTTTAACTTAACTTCATCTAAACTGAGTTTAAACCAGCACTGAAAAACTGGCCCTTAGACAATTTATTCTGTTTAGAGCGGAGGAAGCCGAAAATTTTAATCATAAAGTCACGGTGCCTGGTAAAAGTGGCGCCCGGGATAAGCTTAATTAGCAGTGGTGAAGTGTGTGTGTGTATTTATATACAAAAGAAAAAAAAAACAAAAAAAGTGCAAAAACGGCATCGTCCTAGATACCGCTAGCTATACGGGATCCCAATTACATATATTCGTTGGTGCTCGAAAATAGCGGAGAAAGAGGTAAGTTTATGTGATTGTTATCCAAGATTAACTTAAAAAAAAAAGAAATGGATTCCTCCAGTTGTGTTAAATGTAATGCGTGTCCAACTGAGAAAAATATATACATTGTTAGTTGGCACTTGTGATATTTTTTTTTTGATTGTTTGAAGAAATCTGTGGTGTAGTGGTAAGCAGTGCGCGCTTCCACTCCGCTGCGCCTGGGTTCAAGCCCTGGTCAAAGCAACATCGAAAAAAAGTATAGAAAAAGGTTTTTTCTTAACAACGGTCGTCCGTCGGCAAGCAATGGCAAACCTCCGAGTGTATATCTGCCATGAAAACCAGCTTCTCATAAAAATACAAACGCCGTTCGGAGTCGGCGTAAAACTGTAGGTCGCTCCGCTTTGTGTAACAACGTCAAGGCGCACACTCAAAAAAAAGTGGCCATGTTATTTCCAATGTAAATCAAAAACTATCAATTTATGGAGGAAAAATAGTAAATTATCGTGCTTCACGTTAAATTTACATGAAAAATGTCAAATTGATAATGTAATGTTTTACATTACAATATCATTTTTTAACGTTAAAACTACATTAAAAATTATACTGGGGAAAATAGCATTTTTGTTGTTATTTTTACAGTAGGTGATGTTGTTTTAACATTAAAAAATGTTAACTTTTCTCTAATAAACGCATAATTTAAATCGACGTACATTTGCACACAAATTCCGAAATTTTTAGCAAAAATATAAAATAAGAAGTGGAAATGGAAAATATATTTGTACTGGGCGAAACAATCGACGCCCTACCATCGTCGGAACCAATTTTCGAATTGGTACAAGAGGATTGCGCCGATATTTTATATTGTCCCCAGTCCAGTGACGCAGTGGCCAATTTTGAAGAGATCGAAACCGCGGAAGAGCAAATCGTCGTTTAAAGTACAAAACCGCGTATCGTCATTCTGCAAAACCGCGTAACTGACATTGGCTGCGAAGCTCTTGGCTCAATCCTTATCCATTCGTCCTGAAATATACTAGCCAGAAATGCGATTGCTTTATAAAAAAAGGAACCATTTTTAAATATGAGTGCTTTTACGCCCCAGAAAATAATTTCTACAAATTCACATACGCGGTTTTGCATTTTGCTGATACGCGGTTTTGCATTTTGTTGATACGCGGTTTTGCACTTTAAACGACGAAATATGCGATGGCGAATGAAAGCTGAAAGAGCTGCTCGAAACGTTTAACTTGGAAAATACTTTGAAGACATTTATTGGTAAGTATTCCGCATTTCTCTAAGCCAGACGAGTTTTAGGTACACATTTTCTGTATATAGATTTCGGCTTCACATACGAAAGACTGAAGTATATAAATGAGGATGATCTCAAAGAAGTTTTTCCGGGCCAAGCAAACACTGGCTTAAGGGCTGAGTTACGTGAAAAAATATTTTTGTGGAAATCAAAAAATGTAATACACTTTATTATGTTTACATATGTATATAAAATATTTTAATCGATATGTACGTAACTATCAAAACGTTTCCAGTTACAAGAGAAGTCACAAACTATGATTACCGCCAAATCGAACACACTGAGCTGGATCGATTCCCAGGAATTCAACCCTAGTGCATCTACATCGCTGTCATCACCAAGTGTACTGGTATGCGTTTAAACAAAAAATCATATGCATATTTTTTTATTTGCATAAAACGTCGCTTTATAGAATGTCATGGATATACTTAAAATATCAAGTTTCGGAAATTCCCTGTTGGACGTCTACTCCGAGAAAAATTTTTTTTTGCCACGAAGATAGGAAAAGTTGCTAAATTTAATTACCGAATATTTTTACCTTCCAAAAGAAAACAAATATTATATACCACGGCCGCATGAAATGAAACAAATAGCTCAAGAAATCACAGAAATTTTTCCTACGGAAAATAAAGACATATACTATGTATCAAGAAAAGATGCACGTAAACCAAACCCAAGTGGCATGTTATATAACAGATTCAACAACTTAAATGTAAAAGATTAAAGACAGATAAATTAGTAACGACAATGCCAGAAGTTGATTTAACACACAGATACTTGCATCCCAGACATACTTTCTAAACAAAATAAAATGAGATTTATGAGTGGCGATGAAAATGATTCAATGGATATGTGGATATCGACTTACGAGTACCGTCGTAGTGATAATCAAGTTTCAAACAGTTTAAGTGCTATTTTAGACAGATGGCCCTTTTACAAACAAGCCTCCGGAATGAAATATGTATGCTTTACACAAAACTCCATTAAAATGTCTATGTTTAATTTTTCTTTTGTATGCGGTATATGTAGATTGAATACGACTATGACCAAATGTTTCCAGCCAAAAAATACAATTTGATGAACAAATGGGCTTCACTGAAAGAAAAACTCACTCAACTTTACAAAGACAATATTAAAGACAAGTACTATGGAGAACTATTTCGATCACTTGACCCATCTTTGGATGAAAGTAAGTAGTAAAATATGTGATTAGAAATGGCAAATTCTTATTTTGTTTCTTTTTAGCTTCAAGTGATTGCATATTAATAATGCTGCTGAATACTGTATTAAAGCCGACATCTCGAAATATTACAAAAGTTGATGGGAAAATTATTATTAAAAAAGTAACCATAGGTGATGCGATTTTGAGCAGCATTGTTCACATAAAATCAGGTAATGATTTGCAACGAGTAAAAGAAGAGCGCATGAAGAATTCACTAGAGCGAAAAACAACCATATCTTATCGTTATTGGCACCGATATAAAAACCTTAAAAGAGTTTTATACAAGTTTCGATAAGTATTTACTAAAATTTAGTTCTTTCATTACTGCATTAGATGCGTGCTTCAAAAATTTTCACGTATTTAATTAAAATTACCCAAGCGAATCGCATTTATTATGGAATTTTTTACAAAAATACGTTTATGAGATTTCGACACCACATGACATTAAGAGCTCTGCATTGACTGAATTTTTAAATTTTTTTAAGGAGTGAAATAAGTAAATATGAGTTTTTTAATTAACTGTTTCATATGCAAAGCTAATTTTGGCGAGCTTACAGCTCTTACTCGTCATTTTAAACTGATTCATGGACTCGGCCTTAACGATAAATTTCAGTGTTCCTATGGCACTTGTACTCAAATTTTCTCAAACTTATCAGCATTTCAAAAACATATACGAAAGCATTTACATAGTAATAATTCAAACAAAAATTCTGGAACATCCTGTACTACGGAAAATAATGAATGTAAAAAAGTAAAAAGTTGTTCACTTCAAAATTAGAATAATTGTACGACAACAGCTGATAAGTATTATTTCCAAATTTGTAAGCGGAGTAACGACTTTTGTGTAAACAAAACTAACATTTTAATAAAATGTGAAGAATTTTCAACTGCTTTACATGCAAAATTTTATCGATACAATTAGAAGTTTCAGCTATAACTTCAAGTATAATACAGCCAATTAAAAATACGGTTTTAAAATATCTGCCCGAATCGGAAGAGGAAGCATTTCTTGCCTTCACTAACTTTTGCGAAAATCCTTTTGAAGATATAAAATCAGAATATAAGCTATTTTTAGTATTTTTATTGAGCTTTGTACCACGATTGTTTATTAGGAAAAATTGAAAAAGCAACAAAGTCTAAGCGGTAGAAGTTATAGCGGTATTCTAAGCGGTAGATGTGCAGCTGCACTTGATAGTAGTTGGTTGAATAAGGAAAATGAATTAGCAACAAGAGTTTACGGGATGTACATAGCTCAGTGGTTATCGCTTCTGACTTAGAACATCGAATTCGCAGGTTCGATCCCTGCTGAAGTCTAGAAAAAAAGATGTCTGATGAAGAGATGTGGTGATCTCCGAAATAGCTGCTATAACTTCTACCGCTTAGACTTTGTTGCTTTTTCAATTTTTCCTAACAAACAATCGTGGTACAAAGCTCAATAAAAATATTAAAAATAAAAATGTTAATAAGCCACAATAACATTGACAGAATATAAGCTGTTTAAATCTATGATGGAATCGGACGGTTTTGCTAAACCACAGTTTTTTAATATAAATAATGAAATATCGGAAGTTATTGTAAATGGTAGATGTACATTAGATGAAAGCAAAGTGCAAGGCTGTATAATGCCGATACATTTTCAGATTCGCAAATTCTTCGAGGTTCCTTTTGTTTTAGATACCGTATTGCAAAATATGGAAAGACTCTCAAAGGACTCCAGCATAACTCATTTCATCAATTCCACTAATTTTAAAAATGAAGTTCAGTTCTATTCTGGTAAGATTATTGTCCCGTTTTTTATTTATTTGGATAGCTTTGAAATAAATAACCCTCTAGGAAGCCATGCTAATGTAGATTCAATATGTGGTGTATACTATTCTTTTCCTGTTTTACCACAACATCTCTTATCGAACTTAAACTACATATTTGTAGCTGCTTATTTTAAAAGCAGCGACCAAAAGATTTTTGGCAATGATCCATTTCTTAAACCGTTGATTGAAGCGTTTAAAGATATTGAGGAAAACGGGATATTGATAAAAACTGAATCTGGTTTCAACCAAATTCATTTCGTAATGTGTAATGTACTAGGCGATAATTTGGGTCTGAATGATATTCTCGGCTTTACGACTTCTTTTTCCTCAAATTATTATTTCCGTTTCTGTAATAGATGTCGGGGCGAGATGATGCATGACCTTGTAGAATATCCGGAAAATATAAGAACGGAAGAGAATTATAATGCTGCATTAATAAAAAACGATGTTAAGTTCACAGGGATAAAAGCAAACTGCTTATTTAATGAATTAGCTACGTTTCATGTAACAAATAATTTATCTGCAGATATTGTTCATGATTTGTATGAGGGGGTTTGCAGATATGATATATGTGAAATCTTAAAATACCTTATTTCCGAAAAAAATTTTTTTTCGATTGAAACTTTCAATTACCGAAAACAAATGTTTAACTATGGAGAAAGCGAAATCGGTTATTTATCTCCTCCTTTAGACTTCCTCCAAATTACAAACAATAAAATAAAAATGTCAGCTCGCGAAATGATGACATTCATTCATTTTCTCTCTCTAATCATAGGTGACCTTGTCCCGAGATAAAACGAAGTTTGGCTCTTCTTCATAACGCTTTTAAAAATAGTCGCCATTTCGTTGGATGATAAATTACTTCATGAACTGAAATATTTGATTCAAGAGCACAATGAAGATTATATGAAATTATTTATAAAACTACTTAAGCCAAAGTTTCACTTTTTGACCCATAATTAAAAACTCAGGTCCTCTTAAGTATTTATGGAGCTATAGATATGACTCTAAGCATAGGGAAGCAAAAATTTATGCCAGAAATGTAACATCGCGTAAAAATATATCATATACTTTGAGTATAAAAGCTTCATTAAAATTTTGTGCTTTTCTTAAACAACACCATGATGGTCTGCCAAAACTAATCGAATATGAAAAAACTAACTTATTTAATATTGAATGTTCCGATTACTTTAAATCTTTAAAAAATATCGAAGAATTTATATCTCATTTAACTAATAGTTCAATAATAAACTGTGTAACTTATAAAGGCAGTATTTACAAAAAGGGCTATTTTCCCAGCAAAAAACACTATTACCACAGAAACGAAAGTGGAAACGAGCTAGGCGATGGGAATCGCTTACCGTTTCGCTTCAAGAAGGCCTTATTGTAACATGGGCATGTCATTGGAGGTAAGCCCTTACCCGCAGCATTACCTTCAAATGAAGGGAGAACGCATGGATAAACAGAATCCAGAGAAGCGAGCAAAGAATGCCTTACAGAGAAACTAATGTAGAATGCCTAGATAAGTACATACTTATTTATATTAAATTGAAATCAGAAAATGTCTTAAAAGGTTAAAATTAATTAAAATTTTTATAAATCAGCGTACATATGTATGTATTTAGGTATTTAGATTTTCTTTAAAATCGGTATGTACATACATGCATATTTAATTAAGCTTAAAATTGTACTTCCTCACTCTTGTACGTCACTTCATTGACTGACTTCAACTTCGCTGCAAATTGAACAAAGCAAAACATGATTTTTATGCGAGACAAATTTCCACAGAAAGTAACGGTAGAAAAAGAATTTTTGGATATTCATTCCATTTTTCAGCTGACTACGATGCAGCATTCTACTTTGCATTCCCCGAAATGAAGCAAAGAAGCGAAACAAATAAAATATTGTAGGACATTCTACTTTGCATTCCCGGAAATTAAGCAAAGAAACGAATTAAAAAATAAATATTATAGGACATTCTACTTTGCATTCCCCGAAATGAAACGAAGAAGCGAGATAAATAAAATATTGTAGGACATTCTACTTTGCATTACTGGCAATGCCTAAAAGAAGCGAAAAAATTCGAAGGCATTATAACGCTATGCCTTCTAGAACACGTTACCACTAAAAGCGATTACCCATTTTTTGCTGGGTTGTAACTAAAACAGTAAATAGAAAGCTCATAAATGTATACGAAATTCACGATATATAGTAATAAGCCAAAGTACATATGTTTACTTTATTGTTAATGAATACAACGTAATTAATTTTTCTGAACACTATCAGTCTTATGCTGTGGGTGCTAAGCGTGAATTATTAGAAATAATTAAAATTGAAGTTTTCACAGGCCCACCCGTTCATTTATATTTTTTACCTGATGGAACTTCAGTAATTAGAAATAAGGTATATTAGTTTATAATTAGGGGATTCACAAGACGTGTTAAGCATCGTAAAACCGTAAGCTTAAAATTGTTTATGTAAAATAATGATTAAAATTGTTTTAGAGGATTCTAACTACGCCGAAATGTTTTTAAACTTATATAAAATATATAATTAGCTCCCTCTAAAACCATATTAACCGTTATTTTACATACATCATTTAAGCTTAAGATTTTTCGATGCTTAACACGTCTTGTGAATCCCCTAATTGTGTTTCAAATAATGCATTCAAATTCAAATTCTGTCATAAATATAAATAATAATAAATAAATAATAAGTTCAAACTAAATTTCTCACAGTGTTTTATTTACAATTTTTATTTTTAAATTCTATATTAATATCATATCATATTAACATCAAAAGAGGTGAAATTAACATTATTTTTCATGTTAATATTACATTAAAAAATGTCACTACGTTTTTTTAATATTGTTTTGTTTACATTTTTACTGTTTTTTCTATATTATAACAATGTTGATTTTACATTTCCAACTTATCACTCTCTCTTGTGTCGGATAGCTTTCTAGAAAATATCAGTGAGTGGCATGTCTCAAACGACCACTCCTTTTCCGACCATAGATACATAAATTTCAAGATCTCTTTCGAACTATCATCTTCAGGTGCTTACAGAAACAGGAGACGAACCGACTGGAACAAGTTCAGGAATATACTCTCGGACCTCCTTTCTAGAAGCGCTTCTCACGGTAAGTCTCGCTTACCGATAACACCTGATGAAGCGGAATCTGTAGACTTCCAGCATGCTTCTCTCGGTGGACTAGATTCATCGGAAAAAATTGAGGAAGCAGTGGACCAAATTTCCAAAGCCTGTAACGCGGCTTTTTCGCCTCCTGCCCTATCACAATTCCGAAGGGGAAAAGGAAGCCACACTGGTGGAACGTAGAAATGGCCACCCTGAGGACGGAAAGCAGGAAGCTTTTTAATAAGGCGAAAAGAGCCGGATCGTGGCATTCCTATAAGGAAGCCTTAAAAAACTTCAAGCGAGCCATCAAAAGGGCTCAGAGGACATCATGGAAGAACTTCTGTGACAACATAGAGGAACATTTGGAAGCCAACCGTTTACGGAAGGTACAATCAAAGAGCCGCTTTTCTCCCAGCTATATCCAAAGGCCAAACGGCGAGCGGAGTTCATCCCGGGATGATATGCTAGAGATTCTTGTAGATACACACTTTCCTGG